GGAATTCCCGCCTTGGGGTGAGCACATCAACAGTAGCATTTGAAAGTCAGTCCTCCCTTGCCACTCACAATCAGTCATTCCTTGGTATGTTCAAATTCGTGATTGGTACTTGGCTTACGCTTTCCCCTTCCATGGACCGAATACGCCCCCATTGTTGGGTTGACCAGCTCAGGAGCTTAAAGGCATGCCCCAGGATCACATTGGTGTGGCTCTTGTACACGAATGCGAATGTATTGGTGGGAAGTGGGCCGGCAGTAAAGAAAAAAGGAAAAGAATCCGTCAAAAACGCTTAGGTTAAGGGCTCACTCACCTTCCTAATCGGCTGTGCTAAGGGAATGAGAGACTAAGCGCGGAGAGGAGAGTATGAGGCGAGAGAGCGCTACAGATGAGAGATCGCCAGACAACAGCCTGATAAGAGAAAAAAGTCTGCAGCTTGGGCAGCTTACTTTGCAAAGGCCAAGCGCTCTTATCGGTTCGGTTCCCCTCGCGCACGAGAACGCCACATTTGTGATTATCCTGTTTAGGTCCATCCTGCAATCGAGAAGCGTGACACGAGCAGTCTGCCTGGGTGGTGGCCTTTAAGCTGGTCGCTTCAAGCATCTGTGATCAAAATACAGTCAGGGCAGTTGTGCGTCATAAATGAGATCCATCTGTTTTGTTGCCTTGACCCTGCAGAGTAGAAACTTGAGGTGAGGGAATGGGTCGATTCTGTAATTCATATACGGAGGGGTGAGTGCTTAGGTGCGATTAGGCGCGTTAGAATAGCGAAATTTTCACAAGTTGACCGTATTCGATTGCATTCAATTAGCTGTATAATAATGGAGATGCGGGAAAACGAATGCGAAAGAATGAGCAAGAATATCTCACCTTCGATCATTCCAGTCTCCCGTGAATAAAATAAGCTGTTCTAAAATACTTATAAATGCAATAAAACCTATCTCCACCATTTTGAACAAATTTCTTCTTGTTCTTACTGTACTTGTGCATTAGCTGAGTTCAGGCAATATGAGCATAATTCAGATGAGAACTTCGCCGCCATTCTCAGTGGTTTGGTCTTCAGGCGCATCGATGCGGGACATAGATCAATGCCCCACATCGTTTGGTTTGCTAGGCAGTTGTGCCGTGCGCTATTTGTTCTTATGGGAGAATTGCGATCCTCTTAACATTGTCACTCTGAATAAGACTCGGCGGTGTAAAGTCTCGTGGAGTGACGTACATGATTTGAGGTCTGATGCTATGTGACCATTCTATCAATAATAATAACAACATTAATATTATGACAACAACAGTGCTGAGGTCGGAAGTAGAAATGAAGTAGGATAATACAAAAACAATCACCACTCAAAAACTTGAAGGACGAATTCACGCTGAAAAGTTAACCCATTTTAGATGTAAACCCTTTCGATTGGGTGAGTTGCGTACACTAAAGAAGGAAAAACCATAGAGAAACGGCCCAGAACCCGAGAAATGGGACCCCTTCCTTTGCCCGTTGATTTGAGCATTGATGCGACTCTCATCGCTGTGCCCTCTTCATCACTGCACTCTCTCCGCTATCTAATCACTCGCCACGTATAGACCTGCGGCGAGTGATCAGATGATCGGTGGGCGTGCACTGGCCCACCGCGCCAAGATTGAGCCTTAATAGGTCGCCGAGGTCAACTCCTTCGGTGCCAATTGCGCTTCAGTCCGCACCCTCAGGAGGTCCGCGGGTCCCTCAACTAGGTGAATTACTCCTTCTTCGACCTTCATTCTAATCGTGAATTCGTCCTTTAAGTGCAGAACTAATTTTAAGGGCCAATGCTCGACAATTTTTGAATGCTGCGGAGGAATAGTATTAGGTTGAGCAAAAATTATCCGCTCTTTTTTTCTTTTTTTCAGGCTCATGGACTCTTTGATTTTTTGCTGATTATTTTGAAGATTATGATGTAGTCTGAAAGCGCGCAATCTTTGTACATTTTGATGTACAACACTTGTGTATTTGCTTCACTCTGGAGCTTACACGCGAGCAAAAAAAGATTGCTCATGCTGCACAGCGCAAGCTGAGCTTAAAACGGAATGCTTCTGTAGAATCAGAAACCAAAAGCCAATCAAGGAAGCCTGGGAATCAGTGAGACAGAGGAGACTGTTCGAGAGCGATTGCTGATTACTAATTTATTGCTAATTTGTTTGGTTTTGTTTACAAACATGTGAGTGAAATGGAAACGGCGGGTAATTTTTTTCAATTGAATAATAGCGAGAATGACAAGAAAAATGTCATCAGAAAAAATCAAACATCAAAATCAAACATCTACACCCCCCACGGCTAACTTTGCACCAAAAATAATGGAAACTGATTTGTATTTTAGTGATCAAAATTAGTACTGGTATCCTCTGCAGAAGTTAACTCGATTTTTGCGGAAGGTTTCGTGTCGAAAAAGGTGTTCTACAAAAGGCAGACCATTTTCGACAAGAAGCCTCTCGAAACCGAGTTACATTTTCAAATTAAAAGTGACCTTAGAGCTTCTTGAGCACAAAAAAGCATTTGCAAAAAAAATCAGATTTTAAAGATGTTTCGATTTCCAAAATTGGCAAAGATGGAGCCCTTTCTTATAATGCAAAATTTTTGATGAACAAGCGATGATAAAATTCAAGATTCCCTTCTTACTTGCATATCATGCGAGATAGTCGGAGAATAGTCAACATATACATAACTCCTCCTTCAAAAAGCGAGAAAGTGTCGGGTGCAGACCAAACACCACAACTGACGACGGCCTCCAAGTAAATCTGGTTAGAAGTTGTTCATAGTGATAGCTGATTTCTGGTAAATGATAGTTGTAATAAAATTCCTACTGTATATATATTTAGATAATCTTTACGCATTTATGACATTGCAGAAATTATTTTGTGACACCATTCACAAAACAAAATCTGCGGTTATGTGGTGAGGCGGCGGCGCCCACGAAATCGCGTCCGTCCCACGCGACCGAAAAGTCGAAAAGGGGCGTCTGCGTGAATGTGTTAACTTTCGAGGAGACTTTTCCGAAAACATCTTAAAGCGCTACTTTTCCCAAATTTTTTATGAAGAACAACATGATTCAGAAAAATCCATTCACTCCAAATCGTTGAATTTATAGGTTTTGAGTGTTGAAAAGAACTGATATAGTAAAGTTATGCAATCAGAATTTCAGGAGCGGTGAAGACAACGACAACAACTACAACGATCCAGATTGGCGTCATACTGCTGCTTATGACAACAGTGAAGATCACGGCGGTAGAGAAAACGAAAATTTCCGGATAACTATTAGCCCCACTTCTACTTCCAATCCCAGCAAGAGCGAGGATTTGTTGAACGACGAAGAATCCGTGAACGAGGAGGGCGACGACGGCGACCACAACTATTACCGTAGCCCTGCTAACGACGAAGAATCCCAGACACTCCTCATTTCCAGTGCTCCCTCAGCTCCCATCAAGATCAGGGACTCATTGAACGACCGAGAATCCATGAGCGAGTATTTGCTGGACGACCGAGAATCCGTGAACGAGGAGGGCGACGACGGCGACCACAACTATTATCGTAGCCCTGCTAACGACGAAGAATCCCAGACACTCCTCATTTCCAGTGCTCCCTCAGCTCCCATCAAGATCAGGGACTCATTGAACGACCGAGAATCCATGAGCGAGTATTTGCTGGACGACCGAGAATCCACGAGCGAGGAGGGCGACGACGGCGACCACAACTATTATCGTAGCCCTGCTAACGACGAAGAATCCCAGACACTCCTCATTTCCAGTGCTCCCTCAGCTCCCATCAAGATCAGGGACTCATTGAACGACCGAGAATCCATGAGCGAGTATTTGCTGGACGACCGAGAATCCACGAGCGAGGAGGGCGACGACGGCGACCACAACTATTATCGTAGCCCTGCTAACGACGAAGAATCCCAGACACTCCTCATTTCCAGTGCTCCCTCAGCTCCCATCAAGATCAGGGACTCATTGAACGACCGAGAATCCATGAGCGAGTATTTGCTGGACGACCGAGAATCCACGAGCGAGGAGGGCGACGACGGCCACAACTATTATCGTAGCCCTGCTAACGACGAAGAATCCCAGACACTCCTCATTTCCAGTGCTCCCTCAGCTCCCATCAAGATCAGGGACTCATTGAACGACCGAGAATCCATGAGCGAGTATTTGCTGGACGACCGAGAATCCACGAGCGAGGAGGGCGACGACGGCGACCACAACTATTATCGTAGCCCTGCTTACGACGAAGAATCCCAGATATTCCTCATTCCCAGTACCTCCCCAGGTTTCAGGGAGACCAACGACAACAACTACAACCATCCAGATTGGCGTCATGCTGCTGCTTATGACAACAGTGAAGATCACGGCGGTAGAGAAAACGAAGATTTCCGGATAAGTATTAGCCCCACTTCTACTTCCAATCCCAGCAAGAGCGAGGATTTGTTGAACGACGAAGAATCCGTGAACGAGGAGGGCGACGACGGCGACCACAACTATTACCGTAGCCCTGCTTACGACGAAGAATCCCAGATATTCCTCATTCCCAGTACCTCCCCAGGTTTCAGGGAGACCAACGACAACAACTACAACGATCCAGATTGGCGTCATGCTGCTGCTTATGACAACAGTGAAGATCACGGCGGTAGAGAAAACGAAAATTTCCGGATAATTATTAGCCCCCAGTTCTACTTACATCCCAGCAAGAGCGCGAGGATTTTGTTGAACGACGAAGAATCCGTGAACGAGGAGGGCGACGAGACGGCGACCACAACTATTATCGTAGCCCTGCTAACGACGAAGAATCCCAGATATTCCTCATTCCCAGTACCTCCCCAGGTTTCAGGGAGACCAACGACAACAACTACAACGATCCAGATTGGCGTCATACTGCTGCTTATGACAACAGTGAAGATCACGGCGGTAGAGAAAACGAAAATTTCCGGATAACTATTAGCCCCACTTCTACTTCCAATCCCAGCAAGAGCGAGGATTTGTTGAACGACGAAGAATCCGTGAACGAGGAGGGCGACGACGGCGACCACAACTATTACCGTAGCCCTGCTAACGACGAAGAATCCCAGACACTCCTCATTTCCAGTGCTCCCTCAGCTCCCATCAAGATCAGGGACTCATTGAACGACCGAGAATCCATGAGCGAGTATTTGCTGGACGACCGAGAATCCACGTGAACGAGGAGGGCGACGACGGCGACCACAACTATTATCGTAGCCCTGCTAACGACGAAGAATCCCAGACACTCCTCATTTCCAGTGCTCCCTCAGCTCCCATCAAGATCAGGGACTCATTGAACGACCGAGAATCCATGAGCGAGTATTTGCTGGACGACCGAGAATCCACGAGCGAGGAGGGCGACGACGGCGACCACAACTATTACCGTAGCCCTGCTTACGACGAAGAATCCCAGATATTCCTCATTCCCAGTACCTCCCCAGGTTTCAGGGAGACCAACGACAACAACTACAACCATCCAGATTGGCGTCATGCTGCTGCTTATGACAACAGTGAAGATCACGGCGGTAGAGAAAACGAAGATTTCCGGATAAGTATTAGCCCCAGTTCTACTAACAATCCCAGCGAGGATTTTTTGAACGACGAAGAATCCCAGATATTCCTAATTCCCAGTATCTCCCCAGGTTTCAGGGAGACCAACGACTTCTCAAACGATCATGATCTCGAAAATGGGGAGGATCACAGCAACGATCGAAGCTATCATCATAGCCCTGCTGAAAATGACATGAAATTGAAGGTATTTTTGACCCCCAATACTGCCTCAGCTCCCATCAAGATCAGGGACTCATTGAACGATCGAGAACTAAGGAACGACGAGGACCACAAATCTGCAAAAACTAGTAGCAAATTCCTGATGATCCTCATTTCTAGTAGTACAACTTCAAATCCTGGCAAAAGAGAGGAAATGCTGAGTGGTCAAGGATCCTGGATCGAGAATAGCGGCCAAGACCGGCATCATAGCTCTGCTGGAAACAGTGGAGAATCATGGGTATTCTACAATGAAGATGCGACCAAATTATTCGATGACAAAGAAACCTTGAGCGATTGGGATCCCTGGGGGAAGAATGGGGTTCAGCTTTCTCCGACTATCAACGACAACAACCGCGACCGAACCTGGCATCGTACTGACAACAGCAAGGTGGCCTTCATGGAAACTGGCCGCAAATGTACTGTCATTCCTGACGATAACTCTTCAAGCTCTGAACGTAATTCTGGTAGCACCAGCACTGCTTTTATGGAGCTCAGCCGAGACTGCACTACAGTTGGCGAAGGGAGCGAGAGCGTGTTGTCTCGTGACGATGACAAGGAAAAAGATGACAAGGAAAACAGGGACGATCAGAGCGATGAAGAGAACATTGAAGAGAGCTCCGGCCGTAGTTACGGCAAAAACATGGTTACCGTTGGGAAGATGCGACGCAGACATGCTAGCAATACCGCTGAGACAAAGAAATCCTCCACAAAGAAAGACTTCTCAAAGCAAGGACAAGTCTGATAAAAGTTCTGCTAGTAGTGGTGGTAATAACACCGAAACCACTGTGACAATCCGGCGCATAGTTACAATCGTTACCAATAATAGCACCTCAAACGATAAGGCTTCTCGCAAAAGTAACGACAACAGTAACAAACGGATTTCTTCAAGCAGTAACGACAAAGGCCAGGATCGTAGCTCTGGGACCAGTAGCGAATCCTCAACCGAGTTCAAGGCCTCTAACTTCTCGAGTGAACTGATCTCTTCAAGCGGTAACGACGACGTCCAAGGCTGGGATCGTAGTTTCGGTAATAACAGCGATGTTTTGTGGAGGTTCTTGCAAGGATATCTCGCGAATAACAACAGAACTACGGACTCCAACTTCTGGAGTGAAGTGATCTCTTCAAGCGGTAACGACGACCTTAAAGGCTGGTATCGTAGTTTCGGCAATAACAGCGATGTTTTGTGGAGGTTCTTGCAAGGATATCTCGCGAATAACAACAGAACTACGGACTCCAACTTCTGGAGTGAAGTGATCTCTTCAAGCGGTAACGACGACCTTAAAGGCTGGTATCGTAGTTTCGGCAATAACAGCGATGTTTTGTGGAGGTTCTTGCAAGGATATCTCGCGAATAACAACAGAACTACGGACTCCAACTTCTGGAGTGAAGTGATCTCTTCAAGCGGTAACGACGACCTTAAAGGCTGGTATCGTAGTTTCGGCAATAACAGCGATGTTTTGTGGAGGTTCTTGCAAGGATATCTCGCGAATAACAACAGAACTACGGACTCCAACTTCTGGAGTGAAGTGATCTCTTCAAGCGGTAACGACGACCTTAAAGGCTGGTATCGTAGTTTCGGCAATAACAGCGATGTTTTGTGGAGGTTCTTGCAAGGATATCTCGCGAATAACAACAAGAACTACGGACTCCAACTTCTGGAGTGAAGTGATCTCTTCAAGCGGTAACGACGACCTTAAAGGCTGGTATCGTAGTTTCGGCAATAACAGCGATGTTTTATGGAGGCTCCTGCAAGGATATATTGCAAATAACAACAAAACTACGAACCTCTCTACCAACCAGAGCAGCAGAGGTCAATTCGACGTCGACTTCAGCGACGAAAAGATTAGCACGAATGACGAAGACTATGACAGTGAGCAAAGCTGGAGTCTTAGGCTTGGTAATAGCAGCTTGTGGAGACTCCTGCACAAAGATGCTGAAGATGCCGAGATGTCCTAAGAACTCCTCAGGCAATCAGTTTTCGACGCCTATGACCACACCGACTAAAGCAGCTCCAATTGTAATAAACGTCTGAAGAAATTCGCGGAGCTACATGACTACCAAACTATTATAACTTCTTAAAAAATAAATTAATAGCAGATAGTCAGAAAAGAGTGGTTCGCAGTACTCGATTATTTTGTTTTAGCAGAGGAAGGCATGTGCTCGCAGAATGCGTTACATGTTGTCTGATCCTTTGCGGCCATGCTTCGTGTTCTGATTTTTGCCAATTTCTCGAGCTTAAAAAGTTCAATAAAGACTTGTTCATCTGTAGAATGACATTGCATTAGACCCTATGTGCCTATCCGAACTCACCAATAGCTCGGAACTTAGGCCGAATTGGCCGACGAAATGTCTGTGAATTGAATGTTTTATGACTAGAGGAAGAAGGAGGAGATTAGTTAGAGAGATTTACTCACGGAGTTTACGGTGGCTGTTAATCTTTCTTCAAGTTCTCTTCAAACAAGCTGTCTTCCCGAGTCTGCTGAAATTACTACGATGAATACTTATCGAACTGCCAGCTCTTGTTGTTCGTAACGACACGAGCTGAACAAGGAACAGCGTGACTTGCTTCATAAGTTCTTCTGGTAACCCGGTGTAGGCTCCAACTTTCTGTGAAGTTGCCCTGAACAAAAAAGACCTCACAGCTGACACAAATAGAAATGTTTCACAAGTATGCTGGGTTGTGAACAAAACTTTCGCCCCAGGCGGGACTAGAACCCGCACCTCTCGCTTTCCGGGCAAGTGCGCTACCAGTTACGCTACCGGGGCTTCCATAGCCGTCAAAACAGTCAGCTAACCATTGCTAACAATCCTACATACTTGCCAGCATACAGGGTGGCTACTAAATATTGGCGCATGGTTTATTGACCATATTTCAGCAAAGAGGAAGTATTACATATTCAGAAATTTATTTTT